ATTTCGGTATGGAACATGAATTGGATGAGGAGCAGGGGATACTGGTTAGAAAGTCCACAGAAATCATGGCACCATTGGCGAGGGTGGGAGAGGGAGGGAAAGAAATGGGACCATTCCAGAGACCCATGTTAGGAGCTGGAACAGATGGTTCTTGATAGTTGAGTGGAGGTTTTGAGGGGAGGAAGGTCCTCAGCGGGACTCTGGGTATCTGGCTGGGGCCGCGGGGTGGCTGATGAGCCAGGTCTCAGCAACAGTCATTTGTGACATTTTCAATTTGACCTTCTTTGTTCCAGGTACAACGCTGGGCATGGGGGCTGCGGGCCAGGAGGATGGCTCCTGCCTTCAGGGAGCTCGTGACCTAATGGGGGAGACCTGGCATGTCATGGGGGACCCTCTGAGTGTGGGGAGAGGCTGTAAAATGGTGCTGTGTGAGGGAGCTATGGACAAAGCCAATGTGGAGAGAGGCATCCAGGAGGCCTGGTGAAGAAGTGGAATCTGAGCCAAGCCACCAAGGACAGACAGGGAGAAGTTGGTGAAAGAGAGCAATCCAGGTAGCAGACACAAAGAAATGAAAACACTGGGAGTGTATAAAATAGTCTTTTATAAAAACAGTATTTTATACACTCCCGGTGGCCAGAGGACAGTGCAAGGAGGGTAAGGCTGGCCACCACCTGCCCTGGCTTCCTCCAGGGCTGCCATGGGGGTCCAGTGTGTGAGCATTTAGTAATCTGTTACTAGTTATTATACCTTTTATATATTTTATTGATTTTTTACAGATGGGAAGGGAGAGGGATAGAGAGTTAGAAACATCAATGAGAGAGAAATATCCATCAGCTGCCTCCTGAACACTCCCCACTGGGGATGTATCCACAACCAAGGTACATGCCCTTGGCTGGAATCGAACCTGGGGCCCTTCAGTCCACAGGCCGACGCTCTATCCACTGAGCCAAACCTGTTAGGCTATAGTACTGGACTTATTCATGCGATGCCCCAAAGCACTTTACAAATAACCAAGAATTATGATTTCAGATAACAGTCCCTGACATTTGTACTGTTATCCCCATTCTACAGATGGAGAAACTGAGGCCTATTGTAATGGCGTAATTGCCCAAGACCTCTCAGGCAATAAGCAGCACTGAAGCTGAGATAAGCCTAGCAGGTCATTTTAGTCTCCGAGAGGGTACACAGGCTGGGAGGAGAAGGGGCCTGTGACATATGCTGCCTTGAGAAGACTTGCATATGGCTCAAGGTGCATGTGGCTCAAGGTGCATGTGGCTCAGGGTGCTGGATTTGTTTGTGCTGGTTGGGCTATGCCCAAGGACAACTGGCCTATGGGCTGTGGGCCTGAATCCAGCCCCTCTCCATTGACTAACCATGTGCCCAGTCCTCCCCTTCCCTGGGGCGCAGCTTTGTCTCCTTCACACAGAGGGCACTGTGAGTGCTGCTTCTGCCAGCCTTACTGGGAGAGGTGGGGCACTTAACAGCTGGAAGACTCACAGGCAGTGTGAAACCAAGTAGTGGCCAGACAGTATCAATGAGAGGTTTATGTTGTCCTTGAGGGCAGTTTTGTTCATAGGAAAACCAACTGAGGCTGCTGTGGTTTTAAAAATGAATGCTTGGCCGAAACCGGTTTGGCTCAGTGGTAGAACGTCGGTCTGCGGACTTGAAAGGTCCCGGGTTCGATTCCAGTCAAGGGCATGTATGTTGGTTGCGAGCACATCCCCGGTGGGGGGTGTGCAAGAGGCAGCGGTCGATGTTTCTCTCTCATCGACGTTTCTAGCTCTCTATCTCTCTCCCTTCCTCTCTGTAAAACAATCAATAAAATATATTAAAAATAAATAAATAAATAAATAAATAAATAAATAAAAATGAATGCTTGCCCGGTCGGTGTGGCTCAGTGGTTGAGCACTGACCCTTGAACGAGGCGATCACAGTGTGATTCTGGGTCACGGCACACATCCGGGTTGCAGGCTCAGTAAGGGGCATGCAGAAGGCAGCCAGTCAATGATTCTTTCTCATCGTTGATGTTTCTATCCCTCTCTCCCTTCCTCTCTGAAATCAATTAAAAAATAGTAAAAATAAAAATAAAAGTGAATGCTTAATAGATTAAAGTAACATTTAGAAATCTAGTAAATTTTAATCAAAACATTTTAAGGAGGATGTTATAACTTAATTGCCCTGAATAATTTAAATTATAAGTATTTTAAAATAAACTAAGTATTTTAAAATATGAAAACTATTGGATTGTCATAAAAGTCGCATCATTGTATACAGAATTTATAGGATTACCTTATATCTTTCCATTTAAGATCACCAGTCTAAATTATTCCATTGCACATTTTACTAGTATATTGAAACCACAACGTTTAATCTGCTACATATTCTGATATGCCAAATTATTTAAAATATTACAAATACTTTTAAACTAACTCTACACTGATTTTTACTAAACATAGTATCAAAAAAAGGTAAAACTATATGTTTCATTTAATTTATCATTTCTAATATTGATCCTAAACCTTCCCATGACCAGAAACATTCACTAAAGAAACAAGTTTACTAAGCAAAGCAATGTAAGGTTATATATCCAAGAAACTTTTGAGTTAGTTTACAACTAGCCAAGAGTCCTCACTAACTACAATCTGGGTGTGACAGGAGAGCCACTGCTGCACCAGGGAGATGGGTTTGGTGACTCCCCTGTGGAGCTGGCCCTCTTTTCATCTCCGCGGCTTCAGGGCATGATGAGTCCAGGCCCTGCCAATGGAATAGGTTTTGCAACCCAAGCCCGAGATCAAGTCAAGCCCTCGTCACCTTTTTATTATTATTATTATTATTATTATTATTATTATTGATTTTTTACAGAGAGGAAGAGAGAGGGATAGAGAGTTAGAAACATTGATGAAAGAGAATCATCGATCAGCTGCCTCTTGCCCACCCTTCACTGGGGATGTGCCTGCAACCGAGGTACATGCCCTTGACCAGAATCAAACCTGGGACCTTTCAATCCGCAGGCTGACTTTCTACCCACTGAGCCAAACTGGTTTCGGCATCTTGTCACCTTTTTTTGTCTCCTGTCTCAGCTTGATCACTCTCCAGGATGATCCCACCCAGGTCATTCATTACCTGATAGGGTTCATCTAATCAATTTCCTGGTTGATTCAATTCTGAATTGGGTTTTTACTTTTCCTCTCTGGCCATCCACCAAGCACTAGAAGTATTGCAATACCACTCTTGGATTCTGTATCCCTCTGGTGGCCTTGCTGGCTCTCCCCACAAGCACGAAGGTCTCACGGAGGGTGGCCAGCTGTGTCCATCTGGCCAGAGCAGCTGTGCTCTGTGTCATGCTGAGCCAGGGAGCCACCCCGGCTTCTCTCTATCCACTTTGGTGCTTAGAGACATCAACAGGGATTAGACGGATAGGCTGCCTACTGGGTCGCTCTGCTGCTGAGAGATGGCAGTCTCCGGGAAGCTCAGAACTCGAACCAGTAAAAAGCTTCTGAGTCAGGATGACATTCCAAATTTTAAACGTCCAACCATGTGTAATTTTACTTCTAAGTAAATAGAAGAGTCATTGTAATATCATATAGTAATGTCATAGTACATGATCTCTGATCATTATGAATTTCTAAATAAATATCATTATATCCAATGAAATAGATGACAAACTGAAGGTCCAGGGAGATGAAACCGTAGTGGGCTAAGGAAGTGTTCCCAAGTAGCGGTCTCATTGGACCAGCTTTCATAAGCAACTAAGCCATGGTCCCAAAAAGCCAATAGGAACTATTAAAATGCTAAAGCGATTTTAACCTTAAAGACTTCTGTGGCCACAAAGTACAACAAGCATCTGCCAAGCACCAGGCACTGTAGGTTCCAGAAGGCAGACGAGGGATCACTCAGATCCTCAAACGTTCCCTCTGGACCTCAGTTTCTCCCTCTGACAAGTCAGGGCGATAAAACCCTCCCTGCACACGTCACAGGGCTGCTGGGCTGCTGTGGAGAGCAGTGATGTAGAAAGTGGAATGAGCTGTGGGTGGAAGGAGCAAGGGCTCGTGACACTGGGTCGTAGTGGTGACCCTCAGCCTGGCCTGCAAGGAAGGAGGGTGCCTTCTAAAGCAGACCGGCATGTCTGTGTGGGGCAATGTTTGCTTTTGGTGTCCGTGATAGCACCTGCTCTCCACCAGGTGGGTGGGTCAAGGGCAGGGAGAGCTTCAGCTGCAGTGAGGTCCATGAAACAGGTTGGGAGGGTTCTGGTGAGGCTTGGATTCTTGGCTGCAAGGGAAACCAGTCGTAGAGCCTTGGAGTAAACATGGACAAGGACCCAGGAGAAGGAGCTGGAAGTGAGATGCAGTGGCACAGGCAACGATGGGGTACGTGGTCCATAGAGAATTTAAAAGCAGAAATAAACCCAAGGAAATGCTGATCTGCTTATTATCATCATCACGATGTGCTGGCTGTTCTAAACAATGTCAGTCTTAAAAATACTTTTCTGTTTGCAAGGGATGGGGGTAGGGGGACATTCCCACTGCCCTCTTTCTTGGCATGCCATAGTTTCCTTTGCCCCTCCCCACAGTTAGCCCTTGGCAAGGGGCTCAGGAAGGAGGCGGCCATGAGGACAAGGAAAGAGCACTCTGGCCCATAGGGTCGGCTGAGTAGACAGTTAGGGGCTCCCAGGATGGGCCCAGCCATCCTGGAGGCAGGAAGAGCGGCCTCGGTGGAGCGGGAGGTGGACGGGCTGCGGGGCTGCCCCCTGGAGGACCCCGAGTCCCATCAGAGCACTGCCGTTTTCACCGGGTGCCATCCTCTGTGCCACGTGCAGGTTATAATCAATTGGCAAACACTGAATGACTGGTTCCTGAACCCGCCCCTCCCCTGACCCCACATTCTGTACCAAGAACGTGGAAGCCAGATTCTCCTCCCGGCTCTCCAGCAAGAGCTGCCCCGCCTCCCAGGCCTCACAGGCAATCTGGCCCTCACAGTGACCACTTCTCTCTTCTCTGCAGGAGCCAGGCCCGTCCCACCAGCGACTCGCATAAGAATCGAGGTCCTGTAGCCAAAGAGCCAGACAAGGATAAAGGTCCCGTGGGCCTGGGGCCTCTGAAAGGTCAAGGCCCTGTGATCCAAGAGCCTCGGAAGGACCAGGGCCCGGCTGTCCCAAGGCCTCTGAAGGATCGAGCTCCTGAGGTCCCAGGGCCTCTGAAGGATCGAGCTCCTGAGGTCCCAGGGCCTCTGAAGGATCGAGCTCCTGAGGTCCCAGGGCCTCTGAAGGATCGAGCTCCTGAGGTCCCAGGGCCTCTGAAGGATCGAGCTCCTGAGGTCCCAAGGCCTCTGAAGGATCAAGCCCCCGGGGTCCCAGGGCCTCTGAAGGATAAAGGTCCCATGGTCCCCACAGCAGTTAAGGATCAAGATCACACGGTCCCTGGGCCTTTAAAGAATGCAAGTTCCGGGATCTCAGCACCAGTCAAGGACCAAGGTTCCTTGTTCTCGGTGCCACTAAGTAACCAAATGGCTCCAGCAAGAGTTAAGGATCAAGGTTCCATGGTACTGGAGACTCCAAAGGATCCAGGTCCTGCGGTTCCAGCAACTGTCAAGGATCTAAAGGATCGAAGTGCCATGCTCATCGCACCTGTAAAGAAAGAAGGCCCTGTGCTCTCTGAGCCTGCAAAGAACCAAGGTTCGGTGGTTCCAGAGCCAGTCAAGGGGCAGGGTGGCGGCGTCCCAGAGCTTCTGAAGGGCCACGATTCTGCAGTTGTAAAGAATCAAGGTTCTATGGCCCCAGAAAAAGTCAAGGATCACGGCACTGTGATCCCCGAACCTCCAAAGAATCAGGGTCCTGTGTTCCTTGAGCCCATGAAGATCCCCGTTCCTATCACCTCGGTGCCTCTGAAAGATCAAGATCCTCTAGTGCCACCACCAGCCAAGGACCCAGGTCCTGTGGTCCCTGAACCTGTGAAGACTCAAGGTCCCAGGGGCCCGCAGCTGTCCACTGTCTCACCTCCACCCCCAGTCACCATCCCAACTGTCCCCCATGCAGAGTATATTGAGAGTTCCCCTTGACACTCACCCCTTGACACCAAGGAAGGAGGTGGCAGTGAAAGTGCTCCCTCCCTGGGGTAGCAAAGTCTCACATTTAATCTGCATGAAACAGTATTGTATAGTCTTGCTGGAATCTAATAAAACAAATCCCTCTGGCTTGGCCGTGCCTTTCTCTGATTCCATTTGAGTGTTTTTGTGTGTGTGTGTGTGTGTGCGCGCGCGTGCGCGTGTGTATTTTGTTGTTGTTGTTCTTAATCTTCACCCAAGATAATTTTTTCCATTGATTTTTAGAGAGTGGAAGGCAGAGAAAAAGAGAAATATCGATATGAGGGGCACATTGATTGGTTGCCTCCCGCACCTGTACTGACCAGGACCAGGTATCAAACCTATCAATACAACCTGGATACATGCTCTTGACCAAGAACCAACCCGTGCCCCTACAGTTTACAGGCCAGCGTTCTAACCACTGAGAACACCAGTCATGGCTGTCATTTGAAAATGGGCATGTGGGACTCTGCATTACCCATCCAGGCAAGAGGAATCTGAGCAATTCCCAGCTCCTTTGAGTTGTCCCCATGTTAGGAGGTGGAGGATAGGACATGCTTCTCTCACACTCTTGCTCTTTGCTTCTGGCACCTGGTGTGTGGGAGCTGGATGCTTCACAAGGTAACTATCTGACCCACAGGGTAAGGGCAACTCATAATACTGCTCCCACCCCCACACAACAATTCAGATGCAAACTCTGAGTCACAGGTTGTTTGTCTCGTGTGCTTCTGACTGGGTACAAGTTCTTACACCTCCCACGTAGTCTCGACAATTTGCTAGAATGGCTCACAGAAGCCGGAAACACTTACATTGCTGGTTAGTCACAAAAGGATAAAGGATGCAGATGAACATCCAGGTGGAAGGAAGGGGTGTGGAGCTTCTGTGCTCATGGAAGTTGGAAACGCATTACTGGGTTGCCATAAAAGGATAGAGACTACAGATAAATATCCAGACACGGAGGAAGGGGGGCATAGCGCTTCCGTGCCCCCTCCAGGCGTGTCACCCTCCCCATAGCTCCAGCAACCCAGAAACTCTCCAACCCCTATCCTTTTGGGATTTTGTGAAGGTATCATCATGTAGGCATGATCAAGCATTACCTCTACCTCTTCTCAGGAGGGGTGAAGCTAAAAGTCCTGAGCTTCTGCCTATAGCTTCATCTTTCTGACCAGCGCCCATCCTGAAGCTATCCCACCAAGTGTCACCTCATTAAAATAAAAGCATCACCCAAGAAATGTTAAGTGTGTTAGGCGTTCTATGCCGGGAACCGGGAACAAAGGCCAACACGTAATGTATATTTTCTATTATTTTCCAGGTCGGGTCCCATGAACGCCCAGAAACCAGTACCAAATCACAGCAGGCGGGGCCCTTGGGTGGGTCAGGGCTGAAGCCTGTAGAGAAAACAGAAGCAGGGGCCCCGCTGGATCGTGGTCATTCTGGGTGACAGTTGTCTGCCAAAGGCTCAGTCCTAAAGCTCATCCAGGTGTCATGCTCCTTGAGAAACCCTGGCCTCGGATCAGAAGGGTCCCGGGACATCTGCTGGGTCTCAGGACCCAGGACAGCTCAGCCGGAGCTTCTAAAACAGCACCCCAAGTCCCCCATTCATTCACACACACGGCCGACCTTTCCTTAGCAACTGCTTTGTGTCTTGCTCGGTGCTGACCATTGAAGTCACTGTGGTAAAGAAGTCCTAGGATTATGGCAGGTAAAAGTTGTGTGGGGGCATGGGACAACTCCAGGCCTGGTTTGAGAAGATACCAGGAGGGGAAGCCAGGAAAGTTTCTCAGAGAAAGTGGCCATGGCGTTCACACAGCCCGAGCAGGGGATGGAGAGGGGCATCACATGTGTGGCTGGAGAGCCAGAGGAAGCCCCTCCAGAGGTCCTTGAATGAAAGGGACCTGCTTTGCATGGGGGTTTGACCAAGGGATGTGCAGCTCTCTGGGCAGAAAACTGGGACCAGGCACAGGAGACCAGTTTTCTGAATCCCAGGACTCCAGGCAGGGAGTGAGGAGGTCAGTCTTGGGAGCTATGAGTGTGTTGCTGGTGGGCCAGGGAAGAAGACTGGGGGCTGCCGAGGGGCTGAAGTTCTGCTTTGATTAGAGATGGGTCCTGTGAGGATCCCAGGGTCTGGGACATGACAGCTTCCCCTTTAAAACCCCAAACCCTTAGGGACCTGGGGGTGTAGGGGGAGCTCCACCATTGCCCTCACCAGAGCTGGCTCCCAAGGAACACTCATCCCCCTTGAAGATTTTTATGCCCCTTATGGATACTAACTCCTTTTAAAGGTCTTTGTTACAGGGCTCTGAAGGAGCTCAGCTGGATTCGTATAGAGAATCACTACAGGAAGCGTTGGTGACGTCCAAATTTTTCTGAGCAACAGACCCCAGGCCTATCTCCCCACTCCTCTCCCAACAGAACCAGGGATTTCTGCCTCAGAAGCAACCTCCAAAACACACACACACACACACACACACACACACAGGATTCTTCCTGGCCCAACGCACAGCGTGCTGCCTTGTGCGTTGCAATAGGGCCCTGCAGACAAGAAAGGGCCACAGGGAGGCAAAAGAAGTCTCCTGTATGGACGCCTCCCTCCTTTCAGTTCTCCCTCTGACCCACACACCTGGTCCCATTACATGCAGGTTCCCACGGGCCAGGCAGTGATGGTGCCATCTCTGAGATGTGTAACCTCCTGGGGCAGACATCCAGGCCATCACCTGCTAGGTTTCCAGCTCTGAAGAGAGCTGCCTTTGCGTTCATGGGAGGTGGGGGACCCGGGAGGGTTGGGGGGCTCATGTTGGGGAGGGCACACAATGAGCTCCCACAGGGACAGTGTCTGAATGGAAAAACAAGTGGGCCCAGCTCAAAGCTTGGAGGCTGGTCGGAGGTAGGAAAAGAGGGCACAAAGGGACTGAGAAGGGCTGACCCTAAACTATCAGGAGAAGCCAGGGGCCTGTGGGGCCAGCAGGGATTCCATAAGGAGAGTGACGCTCTGACACCTGCTGAGCGTGCAGATGAGGACGGACCGGGTGGCTGTCAAACATGGCAGCTTCCACTTGGGAGAGGGCTGACTTGGGTTCCAGCCCAGCAAGTCACCTCAATGAATTTATTTGTCAAAGGGTCCTGGTGCTGACAATTAGAGGTGATCCTACATCAATTAGAGGAGATCCTACATCGTCCAGGCAGCCATTACATCAGCATCTCAGCCAGCTTCCTACTGCCTAGAAAGGTGGCCCAGTGAGGGAGGCGATGGCCAAGCTTTGGTCCTGGGCTGGGGCAGGGAAAGCGGAAATGAACTAGATCCTCCTCACCCTGCCCAGAAGCAGACTGACTGCCTTCAGGCCTGGTTCTTCCCTGCTGCAGCCATCTCCCAGCCCCTCCTAGCATCCATCCTCCCCAGCCCTCCTCCTTCCCATCCCTCCCCTGGGAGGACTCAGCCTGCACCTATGTCACCCCCTGGGGGAGGGGAGAGGAGGTTGAGAGGGGGGCGGGACTGGATGGGGGTAGGGAGGAGGGGATGGGGGGGGTGGAGGAAGGAGAATCTCTGAAAGGGGAGTTGTTCCTGCTCCTGGTCCAGGGCCTAATCTGAGTGGTTAAGCGTCTGAGCCCCGATCTGAGACGGGGATCTGAAGATGCCCACACTCCGCACAGGAGCCCCCTAGCCTGGTTCTGGGTTCTACAGCCGAGCTCCTCCTGCCGCCCACAGCCCAGCCCGCAGCACTCGCACACCGCCACGCTCACAGGCTCACCCCCTGCCTGGCCCCTGCTGCCGGCCTGGGCTCCGGGGTTCGCTTCTGGTGCAGCCTGGCCCTGCCAGGCTGGGGGCAGGGATTGGGCTGTGGGATGCATATGCTGCATCCGGCGGACTTGGACCGGACCGGGTCGCTGCCCTCTGCCCTCCCGCTCTGGCAGGCCTTGGAGACCCCCTTCCCCGCCCCCAGGAGCTGGGCTGAGGCCTCGCGGGAGCCCCTGATGGCTGCTCCTGGGAAAGGCCACGACTGTACCCCTCACAGATTCTCTCCCTGAACAGCTCCCCAGAGTTGGCAAAGCTGATCTGACCTACAGCCGCTGGCCGACCACCAGCCAGACCTGGCTTACCCACCTCCACCCCTGCCCTGTGCCACCCTCCCCACCAGCAACTCCACCCACCCCTGCGCAGTGGGAGCACAGACAGACCTCTTTCCACCCTTTCCTGTCCCCCAGGTGGTCACGGCCCCCCCTTTATGCCATCTGGGCGGCCCCCACATCCAGGCCTGGCTCCTCACCGCCCACTAACACCTGGTCAGCGAGCTGTCTCAGGCTGAACTTTGGGGCCCATCTCTGAGCCGCGCCTGTCCGGGTAGGAGGACGTCCCACGTACCTGAGCTATCATGGGAGAAAGTGGGATGACGAATAGCGTGTAAGCAGGTTAAGCACCTTTATTACTGGTCTCTGGCCAGTTCCTCTCCTGTGTGTGGGGGAAGAACAATTAACCAACTGACTGGGAGCAATTCACAGGCCCTCAGGCAGGCCATTGAACCTCTCAGCCTCAGTTACCTCACCTGTAAAATGGGGATGGTCTCTATGTCGCCAAGCTGCTGGGAGGCTAGGGTTATAAGCATGTCTAGGAACCACACAGTGCTTGGCACATAGAAGCAGAACAGGAAGGCAGTACCAGCTGCTATTACTAAAATCATTATTCTGATTGAGAAATACCTCCTCATCCTTCAGGACAGCCTACATGCCACTTCCCTCTGGGAACCTCCCGTGTTCTCCCAGTGGCAGTCATGGCTTCCACCTCTGGATTCCCACCGCCCTGGGACCTTCTGCCTCAGCCTTTTCATTTACTCAGCAAATAAGTGTTGGGTGTCTTATGTGCAGTGCATGCTGACTCTAGGGGTAGAACGTAGTGATGGACAAGAGATGAACCCTATTCTCACAGTAGTGGAACGTGAATGTGTAAATAGGTGGATAACGTCATAGCATTAAGAAGTCAGTAAAATGAGAAAACAGCAGAGAAACTAAGGTGGGGGAGGAGCTGTTTAGATTGTGTGGTCAGGGAAGGCCTCATTGAGCACATGGCATTCAGGCTGAGTTCTGAAAAAAGCAGGCCTAAGCCTGGCCAGTGTGGCTCAGTG